TATTACTGTTAGGTATTGACTTATTTCTGACATTCCTTATTTTCCTGTTACTGATTCCCTACCTTTCCCTTCTACTTAACTGCTAGACCTACCCGGTATACTCATTCTATTAGACCTTTTGTCATTTTTAGCTTCATTGGCTCTTTCTAGGAGATTCTTCAGAATTTTTTCGACTGCTGGTTTGGTGGTCATGAATTTCTTTAGGATCTCTTTATCATGAAAATATTTTATTTCTCCATCAATTTTGAAAGATAGTTTTCCAGGATATATCAGACTGGGTTGGAAGGTGTTTTCTTTTTCTTTTAAGACTTGCAACACTTCACTCTAAGCTCTCCTGACCTTCAAGGTTTGTTGTGAGAAGTCTGCTGAAATTCTGATGGGTTTACCTTTATAAGTGTCTCATTGCTCTTCTCTAAATGTTTTTAAGATTTTGTTCTTGTATTGGACTTCTGGAATTCTAACTATGATGTGTCATGCAGAAGTTCTTTTCTGATTATGGATATTTGGAGCTCCATATCCCTCATTTGTTTGTATATGAAATTATTTGCCCTTATTTGGGAAGTTTTCTATTATTTCAGTAAAACAGGTTTTGTTGTGCCATTTGTGCTGTCTTCTGATTTTTTGCTAATTCCAGTTAATCTTTTTTTTTTGGTACCGGGGATTGAACTCGGGTCCTTGTGCTTGCAAGGCAGGCCACCAAACCGCTGAGCTAAATCCCTGGCTCCAATTAATCTTATATTAGTCTTCTTTGAGTCACCTGGAAGGTGTTGGATCCATTTTTACATTCTCTTATTATAGTTTTTAAGGGATCTCTCCTTAGTTGGTCACCAACAACAACACTGTCTTCTAGTTTGGACACTCTGTCCCCACACTAGTCACTCCTGCTGCCCATAGTTTTAATCTCCTGGATTTCTATTTGGAACCTTTTAACAAACAGTTTCCTACACTGGTCATTTATGTTTTGTGTCATTTTGTGTAGCTCTGCTGGCTTCTTATTAGTGCCTTCTCTAGATTCAGTAATCATTTTACTTGTCCCAGTATTTTTTCACTTATATCTTCTGTGAGCTTGCTAAATGCCATATTGATCTGTTTTGTTGTCTCTTGATGTTATTTTGAAGAATTCAGCTATGTGCCCTGAAGGGATTTCCTACCCTTCAGTGTCCCATGGATTGGATTTGGGGAAGTGGGGCGTTTGGGGAGGCATTTTATTGGCTTGTCTTCTTGTGTTTCTATTTGTTTTTCTGTTGAGGTTTGCAGGTTGATTTGTAGTAGAAAGCATTGTTTCTAGTATGGAGATCTCTTTACTTAATGTCCACTTTTCAGTGGTGTGCTCTGGGCATGGCTAACTAGTGACCTTTGTCTCTGTGCTAGGTTCCAACCTTCTCTGTTTATGTGAGATGGGAGGTGAATTTGGCCCAGTACCAATTCTCCAGGAATGGGCCACAGTGTTGTTAATGACCTCAAAGTGACCCAGATATTGGCAACTCAAAAAACAAATTAATAGAGTAAAAGAAAAGTAATAACGTTAGAGAGCTGTCACAGGAAAAAATAAGTAAAAGAAGAGAGATAAACAGAGAGTAGTCACAGGAAAAAATAAGTAAAAGAAGAGAGATAAACAGATAGTAAAGTACATCCTCATCAGCCTTCGCATCTTAGCAAGACTTAAAAGCTACCACTGTCACCATCAGGTGATATGACTCTGGAAAGTTTTTAAATGTAGTGACTCTAGCCATGTGCTTTTGGATCACAGTTTCACTGGGATGAGTGGTCCTGTACTAACTCATTTCCTGTTTGCCCTGAGAATATTCTTCATCGTCACTTGCAGCTGTATTATTCCAAGATAACTCACAGTTTACAGTCCTAGTCTCACCTCCAGTGTTTGCTAGAAATATTTTTTTTTTCATTGCTCTAGTACATTGAAAGTTCTGGAAATAAAAGACATCTTTCTATTTATAGCACTTTGCTTTTAGTAGTGGTATTCCCATTTACAAAGTAGAATAATTCTTGATCCAAGAAAACAAAATATATGCTGACAGTAAGTTGTAATTTTTTGTAGGTGGGTAAATTTTTCGTTTTCATTCGTCATTTTCCTAGGACTGCAGTGAAAGCACAAGAATGTATGCTCTAGTATTCCATAAGAATTAGATTCTACCCATACCTGATTTCCTTCTTTCAAGGTTGTAAGTATATAATTTGGTAACACATTGTGGTAGATTAACTAATGGTCAACTTGTGGTGCCCAGCATGGCTGAATCAGCATGGTTGGGCATGGAAAACCCACCTGAGGATTGTTACCATTGGCATAAAAAGAGAACTGGAGGGGAAGATCGTGGGCTGTTGATTTTCTGGGAAAAAGTTGCTGTGGTTGATTTTCCTGATGTGAACTTGTCTGTTCTTAGTGGAGGAGGAGGAGGAGGAGGAAGGAGCTCAGAGCCTGACTATTTCTGGGAATGGCTGCTGTTCTTGTCAGGAAAGCTCTGATCTTCACTGTGGGCATCACTTCCTGGCTCCAGTGTAGATCCCTAAGCCTGGTACCCAAGTCCTTCACCCTGCCAGCGCAAGTTTTCTGGCTCCACCAGTGAGCTTTGGGCCATCCCAGTGCAGATGCTCAGTGTGGACAAGCATGAGACACTGCTGTGGGCTCTAGGCCATTGGCTGGACTCCTGGAGGACATCACCTTAGATTCTAGGCCTTCAGCTGGAGTTGTGTGGGACATTGCTGTGGGATATTTGTATGGGATCTGGGCCCTTGGCTGAATTCTTTGGGTCTCTACATGTGACTAACATGTGACTAATCTCTTGCACTCCTCTGCAAGACTGGATGACTATTATAAAATAATTCTATAAATTATGTGTCCTGTATTAAATCTATTTCCCTTGCAAACCCTGAGTATAACACACATTAAAAGAGTATTGAACAACATCGCCACAGATTTTTACATTACCTTTCAAGGACTTAATTGTGTATCACGAAGAATCTGATCATCACTAGGGTAAAGATATTCTTATTCTAATGTTAACAGATTAAAAATGAGGTTAATGATATGCTCAACTGCAAATTGATTAGCACAGACTGAAAGTCTAATTTCCAATGCTGTGTCCAATCACTGTACCTAGATCACTGGCTATCTTTCAAATTTGCCTTACAATATAAAGGATTAGAAAGTCTTTGATTGTATCAAATGTGAGTTAATTACACTAAGCCATGTTCAACCTTATTTTAACTCCTTAGGAGACTGATGAACTAGATCCTTTCGGCTGGCCAATTATGACAAGTTCTAATAGAATTCCAAAAGAAGGAGACTCTTTAGGCCATGAAGTGACTTGCCTCTATTCAGAATTCTTTCAAGCTAAATTTACTCTCAAGCTGCTTGAAAAAGCAAATGTCAAGCTTGAGTCAAGGCCTCTATCCAGCTGAATAGTGAGTGTCTATATTTATCATAAGCTGGTTAATATGTTCATCTCAAATTTCTCCACAGCTATAATTAAGGACTAGTGTTTCTAAAACTTTATAACCCTTTTGAAGTCTGCTAGACTTGCCAGGATCTTTTTTTGTAAGCAAATAAAGGGTATATTTGACAAATATTAAGTTAGCATAAGTAAAAATTGTTATTAATTCTATTTTACCATGGCAAAGGGCCAAAGGCCATTAAGTAAGGCATCTTCATGGCCAAATATATCTAGAGCCTTATATAAAGTTAGAATTCAATTAAATAAGCAAATTTTGAGCAATTAAATTTCAAATCACTTTTAACCATTTGTAATTTGGAGATAAATGAAAATCTATCCTTAGAAGTATCATTTCTAAAATCCAATATCCAGGCCTCTGAGGAAAACATCACAGGTCTTGAAGATAAAAAGAGCTAACTCTGATAGTTGCAAGGAAGAAAGGGAGTAACTCCTTTCCAAAAAGATTTGCTCATAAAAGCCTTAACAGCCCAAAAAGGGTACACAAAATTTGTTTGCAATTAGCTAGGCCAGCATCCACTTTGATATTCTGGATAGTTGACATATTCAATTGTAGTTAGCTTACAATCAACAATGTTTAATTAATCAATGTTTTATTGATATCTAAAATAATAATAGCATGGTTAGACTTTGCTCAGAAACTATAAATTATGGGCTGGGGATTTAGCTTGGTGGTTCTGCCACCTGCCTTGCAAGTGCAAGGACCTGAGTTCAATCCCTGGTACCCCCAAAAAAGAACTATTAAATCATGGAAGATTCTGACTGCAATTCAAACTGTGATGTTGTGACACTTGGACTGATGTGGTCATTTGCTCAATCTAACAGTGGAGATATTAATTCATAAAAACAATCATCTGCACCATGGTTACTCTTAAAAATGTAATTTGTTCACTGAAGATTGTCCAAATATTAGTTGGTAAATTTATAATTACCTACAGTGCCTTTATAGTTCCTTCTTTTTGGAATTCAAATAGTTTTTGTGTTTGCTATTATTAGTTGTAAGAGCACAGAGTTTGAAAACAAATTAAAACTATGATATAGCAAACTAATTCAGAAAGGCAAATATTTAATATTCTTTTGGATTTTGACAACAGCACATTCATTGGCATGAGAGCTATTTGCTAAAAACTTTTGTTTTTTGGTACCAGGGATCGAACTCAGGACCTCACACTTGCCAGGCAGGCACTATGCCACTGAGCTAAATCCCTGACCTTGCTAAACATTTTTGGAGAATGTGTTTTGAGTGTGTGTGCTGCTGGGGATTAAACCCAACATCTCACACAAGCTAAGCAAGCACCCTATCACTGAGCTACACCCCCATCCCAATTACATATTTTTAATAAAAATTGTAAAATTATAACCTCTTAAAAATATAGAATGCATTGAGCCAAGCATGGTGGTGCATGCCAATAATCCCAGCACTCTGGGAACCTGAGGCAAGAGGATAACAAGTTCAAGCCCCACCTGGGCAATTTAGAGACCTAGTGAGATCCTGTGTCAAAATAAAAATAAAATATAAAGGATTGAGGATATATGTAGCTCAGTGTGAAGGCCCTGAGTTCAATCCTCTGTACCACACACACACACTATACTGTTTGGGAAAAGCACTTCCTCTATTTTTGCTTTTTAGAAGATATTAATATGACATATTATTTGGATTTACCCACTTGCACAAAGTAGGGGGTCAGCAAAGAGCTACGAGGATGGTAGAATCACTGCACTTTCTTTTGTGTAGAAAAGAATCACAATCTATTAGAATGCTGTTATTCCATGGACCTGGCTGCTTTCTAGGGTAACACTATACTGAAACTGGTTTAACTAAATGGAGTATTTGTTAAGCACTTTACTATCTGCAAGATTCTACAGTGGATCAGGGAAAACTTGGTGCCAGAAAAGCTCCAAGTGTGTGTGTGTGCGTGTGTGCACGCGCACGCATGCATGTAAACACCAACCTTAAGTCTAGATAGCTGTACTTACTATGTTTATCAGAAATTACTTTTTCACATAACTGCCTTTTTATACCTCTCCATTTTGTCCCCGGAGATGTTTCTCACCCATTTAATCTCCACATTTTTCAAGACTCCATGCAGTGGTTAACTGACTCACTATCACCTCGAGTGGGAGCACCCAGCTGAATTGGTTCTGGGCGTGGAGGACCCACTGAAGGAGGATTGCTATCAAAACAGTATAAAAGGAGAATGAAGGATTTCATGCTGATTTCCCTTGAGAAGATTCCATGCTGCTGATTTGCCTTCTGGCTGCTTTTCTTCAAGGAAGCTTCAGCTGTGCTTAGGCTGAGCTCTGGTCTTCGCCTTCGCCTGAGCGTCATCTCCTGGCTCTCAGTGCAGATTCTTTAGCTTCAGCACCGGGACTCTGGCCTGCCAGCACAGGCTCTCCGGCATCCGAGCAGCAGTCCTCGGTGCTGCAGCACTGACCCTTCAGCCTTTCATGGTAGGCTCCTTGGCCCTCTGGTTCACACTCATATGGGACATGGCCATGGGCTTCAGGCCTTCCACGTGGTTCATCAGATCTCTGGTGCTTGGACAGATCTCTTGTCCTCTTCTGTAGATGACTCTGTGGGCAGATTCTGTCAGTTAATTTTGTAAATCTGTGTCCTGCATTAAATCAGCTTCTCTTGTAAATGCTAATACACTCTATAAATTCAGAACTGGAATAATCCTTCCCATTGCTCACTGAGTCATTTGCAAAATGGTAACCAAAAGATCATCTGTTATCTACCTTTCTCACTCCTATAATTTTATGTTATCTAACTTCCTCACTCACACAGATGAGACAATAGAGTTGACTGTGCTGTTTTAAATTGATACAAATGGCAGAATCACTTTTTCCTTTTTTAGGAGTTGCAATGCATTTAATATTTTGGTGTGGAAGAGGTGACATCATGATTGCTAATTCTTTTGTTGTTGTTGTTGTTTTTGGTTTTTTGAGACAGGGTCTCCTTATGTAGTTGAGACTGACCTGGAATTCACTATGTAGTCCAGGCCGGTCTCGAACTCACAGCGATCCTCCTGCCTCAGCCTCCTGAGTGCTGGGATTACAAGCGTGCGCCACCACGCCCGGCACGATTGCTAATTCTTAAACTAAGATGATACAAGGGGGCAAAACTGGAAGTGGTAGCCAAATATGAGTAAGTGGAGTTTAGTTCCTTGCTCACATGATCTCACTTCAGAGGCCATAAACATTTTCTTATCCCTAAGAACTACCATAGCTTTTTAGAATCTGAAAACATCATGTCCTTTCAGTTGAAGTTTCTCTCTGTTAAAATGCAGACCAAATACCTTGTAGAACCAACACTTTGTTATCAGTCACTCATACTTTTGTGGGAGCATTTTCCACTCCTTGGGAGCAGCTTTTGATAGAGAACAGGAAGATGTTGGATACTGTGGAGACAGATAGAAGACAGAAGCACGGGATCTCCAAGACACCCTGGACACTGGCGATTAGGAGGTGGCTCGCCCCTCACCGTTCCATGTGTTGGAAGGTTGGTTCCCAGCACGGCAATGTTAAGAGGTGGTGGGGCATAGTGAGAGGTCACTGGGCACTGGACTCTAGCCCTCAGGAAGGGTTAAAGCAGTTCTTGGGGGTCCCTGGTTAGCTCTCTTCGGATTTCATAAAAGAGAGAGCCTGGCCTCTCCCTGCGCTCACTGGCTTCCTGTCTCACCATGTTCTCTCTCCTTTTCACAGTGCTCCTGCCATGATGCCAACCACCTTGCTGTAGCCAGGGGGCCTCACCAGAGGCTGATGGGATGGCTCTGTCTTCTACTTTCAGCCTCCAAAATGTAAGCCAAGTAACCTTTTCTTTAAAAGTTCCCTGCCTCAGATTTTGTTATAGCAACAGAAAATGGGCTAATAGAAATACCTGGCCTGTTTTTCAACTTTGCTGATTGCTATGATGCAAAAAATAAAACCTACTTACTAATAAATTGACTTTTTTTCTGTAACTTTAAGATAAAAACAACTTAAAGCTGGTAGAAAAGTGATAGTAATATAAGAACTCCTAAGTGCCTTTTACCCCCACTTTCGTTTTATTTATTTTTGTGATGCTGGAGATTGAACCCAGGTCCTGTGCATGCCACGCAAGTGCACGACCACTGAGCTAGCTATACTCTCTGGGCCTGATTTTTTTAAACTTCAAAATAAGTATTATTTATAGATACTTGCAACCCCTTCTCCTCCATCCCTCAAACAATAACAAAATAAAATGCAATATACTTGCTGTTCTCTCACAAATACATTTATGTTAGGCATTTTCTCAAGATTTCTTAGCACAAAACTTGTTGCAGGTAAGTTTAACAACATGAAGCCTGTTGTACTGTATAAAATCTCATTTTTTTTCAGCTGGTTTGAAATTTCTCAAAATATATCTTTATAAAAATTCCAAGCATGAGTCACCCTTTCAGAAGTAAGAACTGTTTTTTGGAAGAAAAGAAACTCTGGAGCTATGACCATCAACATAAAAGAAGTGGGCAACACAGTGCTTGTTTCCCATCAAATCTGGGGCTGAACCATATGCCTGTATGGCCTCTCTTACCTCACTTTCCTACCTAGAACGTAGACTATTACTAATCTACTTAAGTGGGTTAGTTCTTTACTATATCCTGGATTAAAGGTAGGGAACACATTAGTGTAGAATCCAATGGCAAATGCTACTCTTTTCATTGGAGTTAGAGGTTAAGAAATGTTTCCACATCTGTTACAGGAGTTTTCAGTTTAATTCTTTATCACCAAATCCTTATTCAAGACCTGTCTTATCCACACAGGATTCCAGAAGGATAGAGACAAAAGAGGACATATTTCTTGTTTTATAGTTAGTTTTAGATAAGTGTAGCTCTGTCTTTATTAGGGAGTCAAGTGGGAAATAAATTAAGACTAAGCTCCCAGTCCCATTAAACATAGGCTGGAGCTAGGCCATGTGTCCTGATTGAGGATCCAACTCAGGACTTTGCACCTGCGAGGCAGGCAGCAGCACCACTGAGCTAAATCCCCAGCTGTGGAACTATTTTTATTATCACAATTTTACCTCATTTCTTCTAAATATGTGAAATACTTTTTACATGACAATCTTCTCATAAACCCTGCATTTGAGTTTCTGATGAACTCTGTAAATTCCCAGACACGGCATGAGGCCAGTGGTGAACATCTGTGCCCCCTGGAGCTAACTTCTGCCCTTGGCGCAGCTGGCTGATATCACTGAACACCAACCATTTAACACATTCAAACTGTGCACCAATGGGGGCTGACCAGTACTTACACAGTGAAAGAGGAAGGAGAAAGGGGGACATAACTGTTCATTGCTACTTCATTAGTCATTCCATCGTGCTTCCAAAGGAAACATTCCACGGGATCCCGGTGGGTGCAGGGGCCGAAGCAGGTTACCGGCTGGGGTCACTTTGAAGTGTGGCTGCAGGGCTTCTATCTCCTCCCAGCTCAGCTGTTGAAGGGGGAAGAAACTTCAAAGCTGGACCTGCTGCTGTTCCTGCCAGTGGGGTGTGTGCAATTCCCTCACGTAGCTTTAAGGAGAAACTGAAGGAGGATACATCCTCTCTCATTTGCCAAAGTTTGTTGCTCACCAATGTATGAGGTTTCGTTTAGTGAATGCAGCTAAAACAAATGATTTTATTGAGTAATTTATATTTATTTATGTAACCTAATTTTACAAATCTTCTGAGATGGCCAGTTATCGTGAGCAGTCCAGATTGTGCCACATCATGAATAGTGAACCACTGCCGCTCCTGATTAAACCCTCGGCTCATGAAAACATGCAGTTTAGGATTGTCCCTTGGCTGTTCTGCTACCTTCAGCCTATATTCAAAACTGTTCACAATCCTTTAGTCACTTTTTAAACAGGTGATGCATTCAGACTCCTTTGTGAATTAACAAAGAATCATTCCATTTAGTCAACAATTCACCTTGTACAAAGTACTGCATACATTTTTGATGATGTATTAAGTTTTTAAAATAAATACAATTTCTTTGATTTTATTTGCTCTGAACCTTAATTTTTATTTAAAGTTTATATTCTTTTAGTTTCACAATAATAAAAAAGAAATACTTGAATAAATCTTAAAATTAAGGATAGCTATAATTAAAACACTATTTGAGTTATAGTTGAATCACTACCTCCAACCAGCTTTTATTTAAATAAACATGAAAAAAATAGGTGAAAACATTTCATTGTATAGTACAAAATGGCACAAGATAGGAGGGTTTTCCGAAAAGCTTAAGGCTAAAAATTTTAAAAAGCAGAACCAGAGAATAACATTTCTGACAATGACATGACTGAAAAGCAAGTCACCAACAGCTACACAGAGGGATCTGTTTGTTGCTACAGCCTGGTCCTGTATGGGCCAAAGAAGCCCTACCTAATAGAAAAGAAGATAGGAAATAAAAAAACAGACTATAGACAACACGCGAAGGGGGGAAATCTAGTCACAGAACACTCCTGAGATTAGCATATGAGAATCCTTCCTGATACAGACAAGAAAATCTACTGTACAAGTTCTAAGAAGACCACTAATCTAAGGCGTCATTAATAAGAGTACTAAGAATGGAAATTAGTCTGTTATTCATACTGCACTCATCAAAGAAACAGTCTAAAAGGAAGTTATTCTAACAGCTGGGTTTTTATTTTTTAATTTTCCAAAACTATTTTAATCAAGGTGGCATAAACTCCAGGATATCACTTCCAATAATACGTTTTTATTTCTCACTAATTGTATCATGAAGAAATCAAAGGCCCTCAGGGGGAGAAACCTATGTCTGCTCTTACTGTATCTTCCTGGGGATGTGCAGGCTCTATATTCAGGCCTTTTGAGCCATTTGTATAACAAATGACAGGGAGAAGCAATTAAAAAGCAAAACAATAACACCAAAAAATGGGGAAAAGCCACAAATACAATGATTTTATACACACAGTTTTTTCTTTTGTTTTTTTTAATGTCATTTATGATTTAGTAGAAGGAAGCAGGCACTTGCTATGGTACTGTTTCACAATTACTCTTTAAATTTTTATGTTTTTAATTGTTGCTCTTTGAGATGGGCCTTACTATCCTTGTAGTGCAGGCTATACCTAGAAACTCACTATATAGCCCAGCCTGACCTAGAATTGGTGAGTGTCCTGCCTCAGCCTCTCTCTAGTGCTGGAATTGGAGGCCCATGGGTCACCGCGCCAGCTAACAATTGCTTCAGTTGCTCAGTTTCTGAGAGTCTATTCCAGTGAAAGCTGTACACTGTCGGCTTGGCTTTGTGGCTGCTGATAGTCATACTTCCTTGCTATCAAAAAAAGAGAGAAAATTAATAAAACTACAAAATAATTATGAGCTACCACCACTGAATCACAGTGATGACTCTCAGTGAAGAATCAGTTTGGAATTAAACAACTTGATTTCTTTAGAGGAAAGGAGTTATACTTCACAGTTCTCTTAACTTCTCAACACTGCTCATATCTGCTTTTATTACTATTTATTTATTCCATACTCACTGCTATTTTGTATGAACTTTAAAATACAGGCTGAACATTAAGTTATTAATGTTTTATAATTTCTTTCTTTCGTACCTTTTATTTCCACCTTAAGTTAATAATAATGTTTTTGTCCCCATTTTATGGAATTTGACTATAATTTTTAAGTCTAAGAAACTTATTGAACATAACTTGTCATAAACACAAGCTACAAGAAAAACAGACATGTAATTCTATCTTCTTTTTATACTTCTAAGAAATATTTATTGAAGAAAAATTACATTAACCTGAACTAGAGAAGATATAGGACTAAAAGCCATCATGAATGTCATTTACTGCTTGGCACCTCTTCAATTTTTGCTAACCAAGAAAGAGATTCTACTGGTTTATGCTATTCTGGGTAAATCCAGGTTTTTCATCCTACAGCTCACAACTTTGGGAGCCCTCTTTAAGAAATGAATTTTGTCTGCTATTTGCTCTTGAACTGGCAGACTTTCTAATCCCCATAATTTGTGACAGTGTTACCTTGTAGGGAAAAAAGGACTTTGAAGGTGTGGCTGAGGAAGGAACCTGGGGAGGAAGGGACAATGGTTGGATTATCTGGTCCCACCTAATCACAGAGCCCTTAATATCAAAGACCTTTCTGGCTAAATTCACAAGGAGAGGGAAATGTGAGTGTGGAAGAACAATCAGATGCAATGTTCCTGGCTGAGAAGACGCAGGAATAGGGTTATAAACCAAAGGAGTGTGGGCAGCCTGTTACAGCTTGTGTCTAGATGTCCCCCCAAAGCCTCATGCATTCATAGGTGGGCTTTTTGGAGGTGGGTGGATCTAAGGTGTGTGAATGTGGATTATGGGTGTGTGATACTGGGATTAAGGGTGTGTGGTACTAAATAATTTTTTTAATAAATTAAATTTATTGGTACATTTTAGGTATACATAATGATTACATTCATCATAGACAAACTGTCCACTGATTGGATTAGCATAGTTCTGGGTGTGGATAATGGGAAGGCCCAATGGAGGCGTGGGTTGGCACCAACCAAGAGTCTTGTAGCCTGAATGGATTATAAGGGAAAAAGAAGGAAGGCAGATTTGCTGCTTGCTGCTTGCTGTGTTGCTGGTTGCTGCTCCACTGCTTCGCTACCTCCTGCCCTGCCATACTATGGAGTGTTTCTCCTCTGTGATGCCCCTCTACCTGCTGCTGACTATGGACTAAAACCTCGACAGGCTGTGAGCTGAAATAAACTTTTTCTCTTTTAACTTGTGGGTGTTGGTGTTTTGTCCTAGCAATGGGGAAGTAACTAAGACATACCCTACAGCTGGAGAAGGCAAAGGCAGGTTTTCCCCTGGAGAATCTGGAAAAATGAAGCCTGTTGGCACACTTATTTCAGCCCAGTGAGACCCTGCTGGGACTTCTAACCCACAAAATGGCTAGACAATGCAGTTGCATTGTTTTAATCCACTGAGTCTGTGCTAATTTGTTAGAGTAGCAATAGAAAATTAATACACCCTGCAGACAGGAGTTCTGATAAATTTTATATCATTTTTAGTGAAAAAGGAAAAAATGGTACAGTGGGTCTATGACTGTATCTTCTGTATCACAGAATACATTAATGGTAAGAGAGAACTTCTGGTTTGAGTAGATATCAATGACAACTTAATTCTTTACCTATAACTTTTTATACAGAGTTTCGGGTTCTATACATTTTTAAAATACTTGTAATTTTCAAGGTTTTGTAAAAAATATATATTTATGACATAAAATTTAACCAGTTTTAGATGTACACTTCATGGCATTAAGTATATTTATGTGGCTGTACAAACATCTACAGATTCATGCCCAAGCAAACTCTTGTACTCATGAAATATTAACTCCCCAAACACTTTCTTCAGCTTCTGACAACCACCATTCTACCTTCTGTCTCTGTGACTGGCTTCAGATAAGTGAGATAAACAAGACGTGTCCTTTTGTGACCAGCTTATTTCAATTAACATAATGTCTGCAAGGTTCATTCATGTTGTCCTAATGAGTCAAAATCTTCTTTTTAAAGGCTGAATCACATTCTACTGTATGTATGCACCACATTTTGTTTATGTGTTCATCTATAAAGACATTTAGTTTTTTTCTGTCTTTTGGCTACTATGAGTAATGCTGCTCTATAAAGTTTTCTTTCTTATTTTTCCCTGGTGATACGTGCATTGGTAAAAATGCAAAAGAAACAAAAAGGGGTTAACTGAAAAGCAAAATCTCCTTCCTATGTTGTAGTTGTATAGTTGCCTTCCCAGTTCTTTCCAAGGAACCACTGTTATCAGTTTTTAATGTAAAATTTATGCTGAGGAATTTTTTTTTTTTTAGGTTTTATCTAACATATAGTTGGCCCTCTGTATCTGTGGATTCAAATGTGAATTAAAAATACTTGAAAAAAATTTCTATACTGAACACATACACATTTTTTTGCTTTATCATTATTGCCTAAACACAGAAAAGTAATTATTTATATACCAATGCCTATTTACATTGTAAGTAACGTAGAAAAGACTTTAAATATATGGTAGGATGTGTATAGGTTATATGCAAATATGCTTGCTATTTTATAAAAAAGACTTCAGCATCTACAGACAACCACATGTGGGTATTACATATATATCTTTTTTTTTTTTTTTTTTTCCTATTTTTAACCTGAAATTCCACCTGGACTGAGAACATAGGCCATTAAAATTTGCTGATCATCTTATTTTGCTTCTTCCTTTGTCTAGGCATGTGTTTGCATATGCACACACAAGCAAGCATATACATACATTTTACAATGGACAGTTTTGTTTTTACTTTAAATCCTAAATAGCTCCCGTGAAGCAAAAGAATCAATAACCGGAAGCAGGTCTTTCCATGCCTCTTTCCAAGTTGCCATAGTAATATCAAACATTTATATTACATATAACTATAAAGGGGATGTTGTGGTCACACCTCATTCTTCTATGGTGTTAAGACTATGGCTTAGATGTACAATTCATTCTGGCTCCATCCATTCTAAACTTTGTTCCTTCCTCATTGCCTGCTCACAGTGCTCAGGACTATGGGACATATTGAGATAGGCCATCTGCCCTTGCACCCGATATCCCATGTCATACTCTTGGAAGCCATTCATTACTATACTGCTGTGGCTTGTAATCAATCTTTAGCTACTTTAATGCCACTCCACATGAAGGGACATGCAAAGGAGGAAAAATTAAAATAGGAAGAGACAGTAGTCTCAACTAATGGGTAAAAATCTTAATTTTTATACAACTATCAAACATGCAAGCATCTGAACATTGCTAAGGTACTTCTCAGGGTCTTGTGGCAATAAATTTCATAGTAAATTTGCCTTTGCTGAAACTGGGTTAAGCATCTAAAAAGAGGTACTAAATTTTATATAACCAACTGTTTTTGAGAACCTAACCCTTTTGCTAATTTGACTCAATTCCAAAACATCTATTTTAAACATGCTTATGCATATAGTTTAGCACAGGCTATACTTACAAATAGAATACATTTCCAGTTGTTGTCTTAAACGAATTTTGCTCATTGTGTCATAAAAGTTGGGCTCTGACAAAGTTTCTTCTGTAGGTGGCACACTGAATATCCTCATAATTCTCCTTTTATTCCTAAAATACAAAAACAATGTAGAATACAGATTTGTATTGATTTCTGTAAGATGATAATCTCATGATTCTGGTAGGCAGAAGCAACATTAAAAGAACTTAAAATGACTAGTCCATTTTCTTTTCTACTTTGGGAGATGCTTCCTTGGCTCATGTGTTCTTTTATTTAGAAATATGAGGCTGTAAGTAACAACACAGCTTTAAAAAGAGAAATGAAATACTAAACACATCCATTTAATAAAACAAAGGAAGAGGCCTCCATTGTGATTCCCCTCAACCCCTTAAAAAGCCAGATATCGAATAGAAAAACGTATGATCAAAAAAGTCTCATTTCTCCTCCCTCTCATGTCATCCAAGTAAGGACAAATTATTGGTTTGAAGAATATACTGAATGTAAAGTAGACCTTAATTTTGGAAATTCATAATAAAATTATTTCTTAAATATAATAGCATGGCTTTAGTGGGGACATCTTTTTAAAAATCAGAACAATGTGCCTCTGCTTTAAAAAAAAGTGGGGAGGAGGTGGTGCCTGCTTTTAGAGGAGTGGTGGGGACACAGGATGCCTTCTCCCACCCACCAGCTTGACTGCTCTGAGAGGGCCATGTAGCCAGGAATGGTGAGCTCTGATTATCCCCTGGCCAAAGAGAAATTACTTCTGGATTACTAACCATTTTCAACTATTTAATGACATTTTTACCTAGGTAGAGAACACCCCAAAGCACTGGCTATGAGCACACCCAACTCAGCCCCATTAATACTGCCTTTTTTCTATGAAGTACACACCCCTCTTTTTAAAAGTATATGTACTTAGGGTAAAGGAGCCAGGGGGTGTAAAAGACAGCAGTTAAACGAAGCTACAATATCTGCAACTGAGGCAGAAAATACTGAAAATTCACAACATGTGGCATATCCAGGACACAGAGGTAAAAGACAAGGCCCTTATTCTCAAAAGGCTGACGTTTTGTAAAGAAAACACAAGTAACCAGATAACAGCAGTACTGTTTATAAATGCCTTGATAGCATCATGCACAAGAAATAAGGAAATGCTTCAAATGCGCAAAGAGATTTGCTGAATATAGAGGGATTATTATTTCTGCATTTCAGAGACTTGGGCAAAAAAAAAAAAATGTGCTCACCATGGAGTAGTAATGAATAAATTGGCTGATGATAAAATTGGGCTACCTTAGAAATAACAGAATAGGAGTACAGAGCGTCTGGTCCTGGGGCTGGGAGCTGTACTTAAACCTGAACCTCTAGGGGAATGGTGTTTTCAAAGCCAACCCCTGCCACCACCAGCATTTTGACCAGACTTAAGAGTGCACCAGTTAGAGCAGGAATAAACACTCTGACGAAATTATTTTTTATACATTCTACTCAGAAAAGTCCTATAAAACTCTTAAAAGCCCCGTGTCATATCTATGTTGAGATACTAACAAATCTACCTTTTGGCATACATGAAGAGAGCGAAGCTAACAAGGATCACTATCAGGTAGACATTGGTGGCTTCATTCCAGGCCTCATGAACAGTGTAATCAATGGAACCGTCGTCCTCCATGACTTTGTAACTCCCAGCCATGGGGCTGTAAGAGAAAAGAAAGGAGTGTTGGCGATCACGTGGGCTGCCAGCTAAACCCAGTCCACAGCCTATTTGCTTTGTTTTGTCTTTGGTCTTGGTTTTTCAGACAGGGTCTCACTGCACAGGTTAGATGAGTCTCTTACTCACTATGTAGCCCAGGTTGGCCTCAGACTCATGGCAATCTACCTGCTTCAGCCTCCTGAGTGCTGGGATTACAGGTGTGTGCTACCATTCCCAGCTTACTACTTATTTTTATATAGCCCACAAGTCAAGACTGGCTTTATGCTTCTAATCAGACATTTTATTCATTTATATTGTTTGGTGCTGGGGACTGAACCTAGGGCCTTCTGTTGCTAAGCTTATTTCACCACTAAGCTATACACTCCAGGGCCCTACATGGGCATCTTTGAAGTGTTTCTAAGTATCTGTGTAACATTCTTGATTTGCCTCACAGCCCAGAAAGCCTAAAATATTTTCAATATGATCCTTTAAGAAAAAGATTACTAAAAAAATGTTGACTGACCTTTGGTCTAGATAATTAAGGCACAAACACATCTCCCCTTACTTTTTTTTTTTTTTTTCTTTTTTTTTAGCAATACCAGGGATCAAACTCAGGACCTTGTGTTTGCAAGGCAGGCGCAGTGTCACTGAGCTAAATCCCCAGCCCTTCCCTTTTAACTCTGAAGCATTATGGTTCCCATGTAAAGATCAAAATGAGGAATAAAAAATATTATTAAAAGGATGGACACTGTAATGTCCATTAAAAGAATGGACAATGAAAATTGTAACTATAGTCTGGATGAAAGCAACAGAATCCTTGAAAACAGAAACCCAAACTTTAGCTGGCCACAACGCTCAGAACAGCATCATCCTGGTGACCACGGCCCAGAAAGGACACGATGGCCTTACCAGTGATATTCCACAGGCTCCTGAGTCTGGAGCTGGACTCGACTCAGGTGTGGCCTGGGGCCAAAGCTGGCTGACAGAAACTATGGGATAAAAACTTCCATTTTGCTATTCATACAGCTGTGATTCTAAGAAACAGGATATTTCCACAGAAAGTGAAAGCTGCAATTCCAAGTGTATCAAAGAGCAAGTAAAAGAGAAATAAGGGCTGGGGGTTTAGCTCAGTGGTTCTGCTACCTGCCTCACAAGTGCAAGGTCCCGAGTTCAATCCCTGGTACCCAAAATAAACAAATAATAAATAAATGGAGTGATTTCTTGCTTGTAAAATTAATTGAATTTTGAGTTTAAAGAAATGTTCTTCTTTTATGTAGGACCTCATGTAAAAGAGATCCAAAAGTGTTGTTGTAGATACAATAAAAAGGAAAAAATGGTAGTAATGATAGGGGATAACTGTACTGTACTTTCTGAGAATAAGATAGCAATTTTTAATACCAAGAAAAGGCATATCTGGAATGTATAAGTTGTTCTGCAATTGTTTCTAAGCTGCATACAATAATGAAGACATTGCAGGAATTCCTCCACTAGAATATCTTGCAGTCTGTCTGGTAAAGCATCCTCATGTTCAACATTGTCAACTTGGCTCAGGAAGTTGGTCTGAGTAAAGACAGAGTAGGTTTTCTTTCTTCTTGCTTATCTTTGTATAAAGTGATTGAAATTTAGGGACAGGCCTCCTCCTAAAACACATGGCATGTTCTCCCTTTTCTGATATCTAAAGTCTTTGTTAGGTATTTGGGGATGTGCAGTACTTATTTAGAACAAAGTGAATATCATGAACAGTCATTTAACTGAAACTTCTGAAACTGAGGCCAAGAATAATTTCTCTAAAACACCATTGGTTTCTGATAAAAATAAAGATTGGCCATATGAAATTAGCCAGGAAACAATAAAAATAATACTTTATAAAAATGTATAGGTGTAACATCAAAATATTAAACATAGATTGTATCCAACTCCTAGATATTAACGACTGGCTATTCATTTATTTTTATAGGGTGGGAGGCACAGGGCATGGTCCTATTTTCCAACCTTATTCTTTAAAACAACTCCAGAGGTTCTCTGAAATTAACATCATGATTTATAACGTGTAATCAGCCTACTTTAGAGATGAATTCAGGAAGACCAGACACTGTAACAGTCTATATGATTTATGCCAAAATGTTAAAATAACAATAATGACCATGACTGGCCCCCCAAAAAAAACAAAAGCAAAAGAAACAGAGTGGGAGTGGGGAGGGTGATATGAGTTGAACGTCTGATTTGAGGTGCTGCAGAGGCCGAGACGATTATGCAGCAAGGGTTGTAGCTTTTAGGTTTGAGGTTATTTTCAAAATGAGAAACAATGAACAATGCAGCAATAGCCATTAGGACACTGTGCAGGTACCATTTGTCTGACAAATTACATGAGTGTTTCCCGCCTGCTTTCTAACACTGAATGGACCTGAACCGGGTTCATTTACTGCTTCAACTTTTTACAAAATTCTGCTAACATGCCACTCAATAAAAGGTATTCCTACTTGCACTTGATTTCTTCTGCTATGACTATACCACTTTTTAATTATACTTAGGAAAGAACTTCTAATTACTGCTGACCCAAAATGGTAAAATTTTAATGTGGATTATATAACACATTATACAACGTGATCGGTATGCAATGACACTGCTATTCCATGGTTCCAGAAACAAGCACTTGAGTTATTTTTAGTAGCGTAGTTGTGCCAGATTTACATGGAGGTAGGCCTTTCTTGCCCAGTCCTCATCATGACCAACGCCATGCTTTGTAAGCCTGCCAGGAATAAAGCATGCTCCGGCTCACAGTACGGACCCATGGCCCACACGTGGTCTGCACTTTGACCATTTCCTACCGGCGTGCCACACTCTGTCCAGGTGTCCACACATCACCGGCGCAGTGCCTTGTACAGGCCACCACAGAACACCCAGCAGCTTCACAGCGTTTCACTCCTGGCAGGTTAATGTTTCAACGAGATTACCAATATAACTAGTCATGTGCTCTGGGGGCTATTTGGGGCTCTTGGAGGAAGCTGACCTCTTTTCACAGTTTTCCTGTGATGCAATGCTTGAACTAGTATTTCAGAAGGAAAACCGTAGAATAAGCTGAATTAAGACCCCGGTTAACAAGAGATAAAGCTGCCAAAACGCATTACCTAGGTCTCCGTTTTAGGTTGATAAGTTTAACCTTTTCTAGGTCATACTTCGGGTAGCGCCTCTCCAGGACTCCTGTGACACTACCCTAGGCAGATGAGTCCTAACTTCGCGTTCCTGACACCACGTCTGGGTGGCTTTAATTTAAATATCACGTATTCTGCCCAGAATGTTATCATTCTTGTCCTACAGCCTTGTTCTTTCCGGATAGAAACAGGATTTCCAGAGGGACTCCAGAGGTTCCGCACCGCAAGATTCACTAAGTGAGTAAACAGAGTCTCCTTTCTCTCCACTCTTTGGGACCCGAAGGGCTGTTTTCCCGAAGCAGGGGCCCGAGCTCACCGCCTGCCCCGCCGGGGAGTAAGCTCGGTCCGCAGGTTCCGGCCGGTAGGTCGCGCTCGTGCGTGGTCGCTACACCGTGAGGACCCCGCGAACCGCC